TTGTGAAAGAAAATTTGTGAAAAGAGATTATGGATTTAACATTTTCTTTAACAAAATGTACAATAGAGGGTTTTATTTTATATGCGGATTAAAATAATTAGATATGACCAACCCATTAATCAAATAAAAAATACTTTTAACCAATACCTATTTACTGTAATTGTATATTAATTGTGTATTTAAAGGGCCTCACGTCTAAATCTTAAAAGAATTGAGCCCCCACCCCGTTAAAGTATTCATGCACTCCAAGGAAAAGAAAACAAACGCATCTATATAATAGATTTTATTAAGATACGACAAAATATAATATAATAACAAAGAAAACCATTAATTCAACAAGCAATTACATTCCAAAGTAACCGGATCTATGACATCGGAGCACACCGTGCCACCGGTACACAAACAAGATCATGAGCTCTGGGAGCGGTCAATCCTGGCCGTTCAGGCATATCAACCAAATCATTACTCTTCATTTCCACTCCCTCTGGATTCACAACCTTCCAGTTGAAGCACTGGATCATCGCCGCCAGAGTTGTCGGCAACTCCTGCATGGCCAAATTGATTCCAGGGCATCCTCTNTAATGAACAAAAAATATTGATGACAATAAGATTTTCGGTTGAGTAGTTTTTCATTGGAGTAATTGTTTATGAATAAACAAATAAGGAAAAAAAAAAGGTTTTAGACTTGCCTTCAGGCTATATACTTGTCTAACTTTAGTTATTAAGTAATAGTCTGATATTCACATTTCAGCTATGATATTGTAAAGGATATTAACATTATATTAAAAGAGAATTATTTTTGTTAAAACAAATTAATACATTTATCAATAAAAGTTGTCAATAAACGATTTTCCTACATTTTTTTTCAAAACTGTAATATAAATAGTAAAGCGTAAGTTACATGTACTATATTTGGTATATACTCTTGCTTATAAATAAGATGTGCAATTAATTTCTTATACCTACAGAGAAAAAAATCTAAGAATTCCCAAGAAGAAAAAAAGAATATGAGTCATTTCAAAAAGCTTATCTTGTTAATAACTCTTCTTTTGCCATGGTTAATTATGTGCAATGCCAAAATAATTGTTAATATAACTAATTATATATCGCCATTTGAGGTTCTTACTTTTCATTGCCGATCCAATGATGACCTTCGTGAAAAATCACTCGTTTATGAAAAGCCGTGGCATTTTGAGTTCAATAAACAGTTGTTTGGATCAACTGTATTCAAGTGCGATTTTTCGTTTGCCAAAAAAAAAATACCTTTGTTATCTATGATTCTAGTAAAGAAAAGATTCTTGCAAGCAATGAGATTGGTATATCATATCTAGCTATCCATGTAAGAAAAATGATATCCTTACAAAAACTTATACAAAGAGGGCTACAAAGAGAAGAAAAAAACAAAGAAATAACGAAAAAAAAGAGAGAGAGAGGGAGAAATCATGGAGATCAAGGATAACAATTGTCTTTATATACTCCTTTTGTATTTGTCTTTGTAAGACTAGCACTTCTCATTCATGTAAAGATCCTCTCCATGTCTGCAATGAAATCCCAGAGTGGGCCTAATTGTCGTCCGTGGGCTTCTTAATGAATTATCAGAGGTTCAGAATTAAATGCAGAAATAAGAAAAGTCAAATTAAATCCGCACTTCAATTAAGTCCACCATGTATATGTTGGAACAATATGATCATGCACTCTTTGTCATTATTATGTTATTAATAATATGAACGATATCATTTTTTTAATCATATTTTATCTAAAAATGTTGGATGAATGTATTGGCACTATATTTGGAACCCTAGCTAAACCACAATTTTAATTTTCTAGTAAAAAGTTATGTTGATGTAGGAAAGTTAAAAAAGATAAATTGTGTTGAATAGTTTGTGTATGATGGAATGAGACTGTAATATTTACAAGTATGTTGCAGGGATTAGTTTGTAATGATTGCAAAATATTGTGTTACAAATGTAAATTGTAAAAGGCAGCTAATATACAAAATGTTGCGTATTGTAAAATGGCTAAGTATAAATTAGCCCAATTCTGTTACTTTGTCAGTTAGTAAGAATTCTGGAATTTTAGAACTCTCTCTCTTAACTTCGGTTTTTCTTTTTCTTCTTCAATTTTCTTACTTCATGTTGAAAATCTTCATGGTATCAGAGCCCTAGACAAACATCTATGGTTAATTTTGCCTTTGATTCAGAAAATTCTAGCTCAAAATCAGTAGAAATGAATATTGAGAGTACGAATTTCATTATTCCAACCCACCCACTTTGCCCACCATCTCTATGAAATTGCTTGAAAAGAATCACTCATTCTGGAGGTCGCAAATTCTACCAGCACTAACTTCTCATGGAATTGAAGTGTTCGTGACTGGAGAAAGAATTTATCCATCAATGTTTGTGATTGAAAAGACAGATGATTCTGAACAAATAGTCAAGAAGCCAGATCCAAATTATTTTGCTTGGAAGAAGATCGACCAATTTCTGGTAAGTTGGCTCTATTCTACAATCTCTGAAACAATGTTTCTTCATGTAGCTAAGTGTGTTACTGCCTATGAAATTTGGAACATGTTTGAACTTCATTTTCAGTCTGCCTCTAAAGCTAGAACCCTTCACCTTTGATATTTGTTGCAAACCACAAAGAAAGACGCTGGTATTATTAATGAATATGTGTTAAGAATGAGAGAATTAGGGGACGAATTGATTGCCAGTGGTGTCAACATATCTGAAGAGGAACTCTTGCTATATATTCTAGATGGCCTTGGGCCTAAATATGATGCTGCTGTAGCTAACTTGACCTCAAATAGTAGTCAAACTACACTGCAGGAGGCTCAATTTTTACTTCATAAACATGAAATTAGGCTAGAACGACAGCATACTTCCTTACTCATTTCCATGAAGCTCTTATGGTTTATAAGCAAGGTCAGAATGACTCTTCTGTTGTCTCACAACACATGAATGCTCACCTGTTTGATGTTAATAATCCTAGAACTTACAATCAACCTTCTCAATCACCATCAATTCCCAACATTATTTCCCAAAATCAGTCTACTAGTCCATACTAGAACACTATCAGTCATCAGCCTCCTAGTATTACAGTTAATCAAGGATTCACCAGACCTGATTTTATTCCCTGCCAACAACAACAGTATTCATAGTACACTCCCTTTAATCAGTATCAAGTGTATCACTCTCAAATGGTGCGTGGTAAAGGAAGAGGCAAAGGTAATTTTGACCAAAGTTGATCTGTCAAGTGTGTGGAAAAAGAGGTCACTCAGCCTTGTAATGTTATCACAAGTTCGACCATGCATATTAGGGTTTTGTATCCTCTAGACTTGGATATAATTCTAGACCTGGATACAGTGTTTGCTCATGGATACAACACTGGACATGTGTTCTCTCATCCTCATACTCCACAGCCTTCAGTAGATGTTCAATCTCATGAATTTGCACATGCTTTGTTAGGAACTGGAGTCATGCTAGGTCCATTTACTGATAAAACAGCCTTTACAACATACAATCCTACAATGAGAAGTGGTCAAATTGGCTATCATGGACAATATAGCTCTATCTTGTCCAATCTTGGAGGTTCTCAGCAGCTTCATTATGGTAATTNTTCTACAAGTCCACAAGTTTTGCATTTTCCTTATGTCTCTAATTCTGTTCATTATCACCCTTCAGCTCCCCTTGATTCCCCTGCAGTAGTTGACTCTTTTGATCAGTCTTTCTCCGACAATGCAGCAGTAGGTAAGACTTCTCAATTCGTTGTGTCTCCTTCACACACTATACCAGCTTCTACAACACCAATTCCCTCTCCAAATATCTCCAATATCCCTACTATACCTCATTCTGATCATAATCAAACCACAGTAGATACTCTTCCTAGTTTTTCTACAAACCATAATCAAACCACAGTAGATATTCTTCCTATTATTCTTACAGATTGCTCTTTCTCACCATGTCAGCTTGTTGTTGATCTTACTTCATCACAAGTTGCTGCTGACTCAGATGACAGTTGTCTTGGTGAAACCCTTTGTTCCAATAAATTAGCACCATGTAATTCACTACAAGTTGTTGCTGAACCAACTGATAAGTCAGTACATGAGAATATTCATCCAATGGTGACCAGGTCTAAGTCAGCTATTCAGTCCAATATGGTTTCTTATAGTCAAACTGGTGAGGATAATCATTTTGCACTTCTCATTGGTGGGTTTGGCAATACTGAACCTGCTGAATCAGAACCTGGAACAGTCTCTGAAGCTCTCCAAAGTAGTAATTGGAAAGCTGCCATGCAGTGTGAGTATGATGCGCTTATAGCCAACAACACCTGGACACTTGTTGATCCTACTTCTGATATGAACATAGTGGGAAATAAATGGGTTTTTCGCACAAAATTTAATGCTGATGGAACCCTACAGAAATATAAGGCCCGATTAGTTGCAAACGCTTTTTAGCAGACTCCCGGCCTTGATTACTTCGAGACTTTCAGTCTAGTGATTAAACCAGCTACTGACATATGGATGGGATATGGATGGGATATTCAATAGATAGATGTTAACAATGCATTTCTCAATGGAGTTTTAACTGAAACAGTCTTCATGAAGTAGCCACCTGGTTTTAAGAGTTCTGTTTTTCCTGATGCAGTTTGCAAGCTGAACAAAGCACTTTACGGTCTCAAGCAAGCTTCAAGAGCTTGGTTTGATCGATTGAAGGCTGCTTTACAACTTAAAGGCTTCCAAAATTCAGTATCAGACTCTAGTTTGTTTATCCTAAAACAAGACACTGGTTCTATCTATGTTTTAGTGTATCGATGACATACTGATCACAGGCTCTGATCAAGTCTTTATTCAGCAGTTGATGAAAGATCTTAATGATAATTTTGCCCTAAAAACACTTGGCTCACTCAAATACTTTCTGGGCTTGGAAGCAACAAAAAATTCAGCAGGTATTCACTTAAAACAGTCTAAGTATGCTTTAGACTTATTAGTTCGAACCAAAATGATGGAGGCACATCCATGCTTAACTCCCATGACTGTCGGTATCAAACTTAGTTCAACTGACAGTGAGCTATTTCAGAATCCCAGCTTGTATAGAAGTACAGTAGGAGCACTACAATACTTAACACTTACAAGACCAGATATCAGCTACACTGTTAACAAGTTAAGCCAATTTTTACAAGCACCAACTGATCTTCAATGGCAGGCTTGTAATAGGGTGTTGAGGTACGTTAAAGGTACTCTGGATTTTGGTCTTGTGTTCAAACCAGCGAGCACTCTTCATGTTGAGTGTTATGTTGATGCTGATTGGGGAGGAAGTATAGAGGATCGAAGATCTACCAGTGGCTATTGTGTTTACCTAGGACCAAACTTGATTCAGTGGAGTTCTCGAAAACAGAAGGTTGTTGCCCTTTCCTCTACTGAAGCTGAATATAGAGCTCTTGTTCACACAGCCACATAGATAGCATGGCTTGAAAATATGTTTACTGAACTTGGCCTAACTTTTCACACTATACCAGTAATCTGGTGTGATAATGTTAGTGCTGGTGCTCTTGCAGCTAATCCCGTTTTTCATGCTCGAACCAAACATATTGAGATTGACGCTCATTATGTTCGAGAACAAGTCTTGGCAAAAAAGATAGCCATCCAATATGTTCCCTCCAAGCTACAAATTGCGGATCTTCTTACAAAAGCACTCTCAGTTTCTCATTTTACTGATTTAAGAGACAAACTGAATGTGGTGTCATTAGAAAATGTGTGCAAGTAATTGAAAGTTGGTTCAGTGCTGATTTGATTTCTGGATTGCAACTCAGGTGATTAATCTACAGTTCTGATAAATTGGTGATGGTTACAGATTTTTGAGTTATTAATCTAGAGTGATTGATCTGGAAATGATTATGGAGGTTCTGGAGTTATCTTTGTCTGATCTGGATTTTTTTTTTGTTGTCCTGAAGGTTTGGCTGCTCTTGTGTAAAGTGCTGACTGAGAAATTATTTTTATTGGTTTTTTTTGTTGCAGTTCTGCTATTTGCAGATTTGATCTTGAGTGCTGAGAAATTTTTTTTTCTTGTTATGATGATTTTTGTTGGTGATTGTTCTGGAGTTGCAGTTCTGCTATTTGCAGGTTTGGTCTTGAGTGAAGTAACTGTTGTGAAGTTTTGGGTTGTAAGGAATCAGTTTGTTCTGGAGTTTTGGTTGTTCTGGAATTGCAGTTTTTGTTGGTGGTTGTTCTGGAGTTGCAGTTCTGCTATTTGCAGGTTTGGTCTTGAGTGGAGTAACTGTTGTGAAGTTTTGGGTTGTAAGGAATCAGTTTGTTCTAGAGTTTTGGTTGTTCTGGAATTGCAGTTTTTTGTTGGTGGTTGTTCTGGAGTTGCAGTTCTGCTATTTGCAGGTTTGGTCTTGAGTGGAGTAACTGTTGTGAAGTTTTGGGTTGTAAGGAATCAGTTTGTTCTAGAGTTTTGGTTGTTCTGGAATTGCAGTTTTTTGTTGGTGATTGTTCTGGAGTTGCAGTTCTGCTATTTGCAGGTTTGGTCTTGAGTGGAGTAATTGTTGTGAAGTTTTGGGTTGTAAGGAATAAGTTTGTTCTGGAGTTTTGGTTGTTCTGGAATTGCAGTTTTTGTTGGTGGTTGTTCTGGAGTTGTAGTTCTGCTATTTACAGGTTTGGTCTTGAGTGGAGTAACTGTTGTGAAGTTTTGGGTTGTAAGGAATCAGTTTGTTCTGGAGTTTTGGTTGTTCTGGAATTGCAGTTTTTTGTTGGTGGTTGTTCTGGAGTTGCAGTTCTGCTATTTGCAGGTTTGGTCTTGAGTGGAGTAACTGTTGTGAAGTTTTGGGTTGTAAGGAATCAGTTTGTTCTGGAGTTTTGGTTGTTCTGGAGTTGCAGTTCTGTTACTTACAGATTTGGGCAGTTTTTGTTATTCTGGAGTTGCAGTACTGTTACTTACAGATTTGGGCAGTTTTTTTTTTAAGTTGTTATTTTACAGTTTCTGCTACTGCAAACCTAGTGCAGTTTTTTGAAGGTGTTTTATAGTTCTGCTACTACAGTTGCTTTGCTCCTGTAGATTGAAGTTTCAATGCAAGTTGTTTTGCCCTGCAGACTTGAAGTTTTGGGTGGTCTGTAGTTGCAGATTTGGTGCAATTTTGAAGTCTCTGCAGATTTGAAGTTTTTGTTTTTGAATCTTTCTTTAAGTAAGAAAATGCAGCTCAGTCATTTGGTTCAATGAAGTTAGCTCTTCAGTTTCGAACAATGAGGTGAATTCCATTTTGAGGGGCAATGTTGGACAAATTCAGCATAATGCAGAAAGTGCAGTGTAAATAGCTTAGGCAGTCCAGTTTGAGGGGCAATGTTGGACAAATACGCTGCCGTTTTTAACTCAAATAATAAAGAGTCAAAACACTGTCGTTTAGATTGTAAAAGCTCACTGAAAATCTGTATATGTAAAACAGTAGCTGCTTTACTTTGTTATTAATGAAAAGTGCAGAAAAAGCATTTCTTCTCTGCTCCTGCTATTTCTCTCTGTTTTTCAATTTTTCTTGTCAATTTTCTGCTTTTCAATTGCAAAGTTACAAAAAGCTCTTCAAAGATCCTTGGAAAATTGAATGAAAATTTGAGAGAAGTGAAGGATGAAATAGGCGGTGGAGAAGAATCAAGTGAAAGGGTTTCTAAAGCTACACCCATAATATCTCATATTTTCTCCACTCTTTCCCAATATACCCTTGCTCCTTCTTTGAAATTCCACCTAAGACCTTTCCTTCTTTGCAAAAACTACCCTATTCAAACTATTCTCCATGCAATTTCCTTGCATTTCACTCCCTACTTTTCCTGCTAATTAGGGGTAGAATGGTCATTGAGTCTCAAAAGGAAGAATTCTCTAAATCTCAAGGGACAAATTCAGTCGAGTCTTCACCGCGGCGAAGCTATTTTCTTCGCCCTGGCGAAAGCTCATAGCAGCTACACGCGGTTGTAGCACTTCATCGCCACGGCGAAGATTTTTCTTTGCCCCGATGAAGGCTGTAACCTCAAGATTTCGCCAAGTCTTACAAATTTCAGGGCAATCACTCAACCAAACCAATACACCGTTTCAACCAAGGGTAAACCAAGCAATAATAACAATATACAAACCCAAATGAGGATAAATCAATAACATTCAAGCCATTCATCAAATCTTAACTACGTACCTCAAGTGGGGCATTACATTTTCTAACTAGAAGACAAAGCTAAGCTACTTTATACATCTTTAGTCTTAAACGCACCGTATTGGTAAAAACTAAACATATTCAATTTACAAAACTGACCCTCACACACATACTTCAGTCTAATATCCCTTGTTAAACTCAGCATCTTTCTTCACTTCAGTCTAATATCCCTTGTTAAATTCAGCATCTTTCGTATTGGATAAAACAACCAGTAGCCTTCAGCAACCTTTAGTCTAATATCCTCTGTTAAACAGAACATCTTCTATATTGAACAAAGCCTTCTTCAGCTTCCTGCAATCTTTAGTCTAATATCACTTCTTAAACTCTGCATCTTTCGTATTGAACAAAACAGCACCCTTCAGTTATAACACCTTTCAGTCTAGTATCCTTTGCTAAACAGACTACAATTTTCATTATTAGTGACTACAACAACCAATTCACAGACCCTGTACTAGAGTTCATGAAACATCCAAAAAAACAACTGCAAAATCAGCAACAAGTATTTAAACCAAAAAAAAAAAAAAAAAAAAACACAGATAGCATCCTGCATCTTTCGTATGGAACAAAACAACACCCTTTAGTTACAGCACCCTTCAGTCTAGTATCCTTTACTAAACAGACTGCAATTTCCATTATTAGTGACTACAACAACCATCACACAGACCTTACACCAGAGTTCATGAAACATCCAAAAACAATTGCAAAAATCAGCAACAAGTATTGAACAAAACACATACACCATCCTGCATCAGACTTCATGTAACATCCAAGATCAACTGCAATTCTACAAACCAGAAAAGTCATAGCCATAGCAAGCAATCAGCACAAACCAACTATTCCTTACTGATTATTCAGGTAAGTGGGCAGAGACATTGAGCTTGTCCCGTAATAAGGCAAATCTGGCACCAGTTAAGGATTTAGTTAATACATCAGCCTTTTGATACTCTGAAGCAACATACTGGACCAATAGATTTTTGCTTGCAACAAGTACTCTTACATAGTGTACGTCGATTTCTATATGCTTAGTGCGTGCATGAAAAACGGGGTTGGAGGATAGAGCTCCAGCACTCATATTATCACACCATATAATAGGTGTGTGTGAGAGATCAATACCCAGCTCTTTAAAGAGATGCTGAACCCATACAACTTCAGTTGCGGCTTGACTTAATGCCCTGTATTCAGCTTCAGTAGAGGACAAAGACACAACCTTCTATTTCTTTGAACTCCATTGCACCAAATTATTCCCAAGAAATACAGCATATGTAGTAGTTGATCTGCGGTCATTGATGTCACTTGCCCAATCTGCATCAGCATAGGCCTCTAAATGAAGAAAATTATGGGGTTTAAACAGCAAGCCATACTCCAAAGTGCCTTTAATATATCGCAAGACCCGTTTACATCCAGTCCAGTGAACAATAGTAGGTTGTTGCAGGAACTAGCTCAATTTATTTACAGTAAAGGCTATGTCTGGTCTGGATAAGGTCAGATACTGTAGGCCACCAACAATACTTCGATATAATGTCGGTTGATAAAACAAATCTCCATCTTCTTTCCCAAGTTTTGTACCGAGTGCCATAGGAGTAACATAAGGTTTAGAATTTGCCATTTTTGCTTTCTCCAATAGATCATTTGCATACTTTGTTTGGGTAAGTAGCAAACCTAAATTGTTTCGCTGGACTTCGAATCCAAGAAAATAACTAACTGAACCCATGACTTTAAGGGCAAACTGGCTATTCAAATCCTTGATTACTTAAGCTATAAGCTGATCATCATTGCCGGTAACTAGTATATCGTCAACATAAACTAGTAGATAAACAACTTTAGAGGCATTCTTGTAATAAAATAAACTTACATCAGAAGTAGAATTCTGAAAACCCCAATTCAGTAAAGCATTTCTAAGTTTGTCAAACCAAGCCCTCGGAGCTTGTTTGAGTCCATATAAGGCTTTACGAAGCTTGCACACACGTGGCTCAATAGAAGAAGAGATAAAGCCTTCAGGTTCCATCATAAACACTATTTCAACTAACTCTCCATTCAAAAATGTGTTATTAACATCAAGTTGCTAAACTTCCCAATGATGATGGATAGCCAAGGAGAACATAATTCTGATAGTAGCAACCTTTACTACCGGGGAAAAAGTGTCAAAATAATCCAATCCAGGGGTTTGCTGGAAGCTTTTAGCAACCAGCCTGGCCTTATATTTTTGTAAGGAGCCGTCTAAGTTTAACTTGGTCTTATAGACCCACTTGCGTCCTACAACATGCATACC